GGTCACAAAGCTAGTGTCAAATGTGTGAGGTCTGATTTGAACTCAGGGCCTCCTGACTCCAAGGCCAGAGCTCTATCCACTGCGCCACCTAACTGCCCCCTTGTTCTTTTCATTTTTATAATTATACTTATTAATAGTTTATAAATTTTGTTGATTTATTCAGAAACTCAGCTTTTGGATTTATCATTTCAGTTGTTTTCTTATCTTCAATTATATTCTCTTCTCTGATCTTAGTAATGTCTTCTTTCTGTTTGCTTTTTCCTTTTCAAGTTTTTTAGGTTCAGACCCAGTTCATTATTTTTTTTCTTTCTTCCTCACTCAGGCCACATTCAGGGTTATAAATGTGCCTTTGAATACTACTTAGGGTACATCTCATAAATTCTGACACAAAGTAGCCATTTTGCCATTATTTTTGAGTGGTCTGGTTTTTTTTTTACACTTTCCTCTTTCACTTTATTATTATTATTTATATAATTTTAAATGTCTAAAGCTGTCTACACTTTTTATTCACAGCATTATTATTAATTTTATTGCACTATGATCGGTAAATGCAGTGTTTAGAATCTCTCCTTTTCTATATTTATTATGTCTCCTTTATGGCCTAGCATGCAAACAATTTTTATATAGGTTCCAAAGTCTGAAAAAGTATATATATTCTTTTCTTATCCCATAGAGTTCATTTCATATAGCTATTTATTTTCATTTCTATAATACTCTGTTTAGTTGCGATTCCTTTCCTAACTTTTGGATAAATTTATCATGTAATGATAATGAGGTACTAAAAAACTCATAATTATTTTTCTAAGTTTATTTCTTGCAAGATTATGAGATTTTCCCTTATGATATTGCAGAATGATTAAGTATATATGTGTATATATACTCATGCATGCCTATGTATTTATACTTATGTATACACATATACATATATACGTATGAGCATGCATGTATATATATGTCCACATGTGTATATATCTATCTATCTATATATATCTATATATATATCTGTGTGAATATGAATATATAAGCTTAACATATTTTGATTCCGTATAGAATTTTTTAGTATAACATCATGAAGCAGAGATGTTTTCCCTGCCTTGGACTCAGTGCCCTGGACTCAGAATTTGGAAAATGAGAGAATATGGCACTGATTTTTCTACAAGGTCTTCCCAGAAAAAGTTCAGCAAATTTTTGTTGAGGTTCCTCAGTGCCTCAACACATGAGAAGGTGCTCTATTTTTTGTACCCATTGAAACCAAGTTCTTGGTCTGCCACAAATCAATCCACTCTGATTAATTAATCTGAACCTTCACCTTTGGTATTCCTGGCCTCTCTTTGGGCATGATAAGTTGCTGACTAGCCTCCTAGGAAGTTTTGGCATCTGGATTAGTTAGTTTAATGTAGAAATTGGCAGAATAGTAATTCTCTGAAAAGTGACAGGATGATATTCCTTTCCAAGGGTCACATAGATTTATTAATGCTTCTGAAATGTTTTTAAGGTTATGGCCTAGAACATGGGTGGGGAACCTGTGGCCTTGAGGCCACATGTGGCCCTCTAGGTCCTCAAGTATGGCCCTTTGACTACAAACTTCACAGAACAAATCTCCTTAATAAAAGGATTTGTTCTGTAAAACTTGGACTCAGTCAAAAGGCCACACCCAAACACCTAGAAGGTCACATGTGGCCTTGAGGCCGCAGGTCCGTTTCCCTCTCCTCCCGCCCCCTGGCCTAGAATATTTGCTGTTAGGAATGGAGATGAGAATAACCTTAAGATTTTCAAAAGTAACCAGAGATTTTCAGAGGGCCACACAACACCTGAAATCTGTGTATTTCTTCCAATATCCTCAGCTGTATGAGGCCAAATTTGTAGATGAGAAGAAATGGTCTACTGTTGCCCGCAACCAGATTGTACACCGAACGGAGAGGCGTGAAATAACTTATGAATGGGCCAGGCGGAGTAGAATTACTGACTCCGTTTATTCATCTGAGGGCACAGAATATATAGGGAAGATCTAGCCTAACTTCAAAGAGTCCTCCCCGTGAGATACTCCCCAGAACATCTGCTGAGGATGTAACAATCATGAATTTCCTGCTTATCAGGGTTCCTAGATTGGGCTGTAGATTCCAAGGTTTTCCCAGGCGCCTAGGCACCACCTGCATAGAGGAGTAAATATGTAAACCTAAGGTTCAAAGAGAGAGAAGGGATGTCTCAGAGACCTCTTTATCAGGAAGGAATTTGGGGAGCCGTACCACTTAATCCTTGAGCCCTTTGGGGTGAAAGCCTGAGCAGAGGTCAAACTCTGCCTTGGATCTTAAACCCTTATCAGACTCTTAAGATCGGCCCTCAACAGTCTACAATCTCCCTGCTGGGCAGTTTGCTCAGCCTAAAAGTTTAAAATGAGCCAAAGCAATCCAATCCTTTCAGCTCTTGAAATCTCAAGGCTGCTTTACTCCTCCCTTAGATCTCATATTTTTTTTTTAGGGATATTTCTTTCTGTGTGGCTCAGTTGGTTTCCCATGCTTAGGAATTCTAACAGCTTATTCCAGACTCAAAGCCCAGAAAGGCATGAACCAGTGGCATGTTTCTTTTCTCCTTTATCTCAGATTATGTCTGACTTCACGCTTTGGTAACCTAGCACTGCTGCCTAGAAATAGAGTGGGACATTTAACTTAAAGCAGTATGTTGGAGCTTTGTGGAATCTCTAGAACCACCGTGGAAGGTTTATGTTCCCTGCCAAGATATGGTGAATAAGAGCAAGATTTTTGGTCAGGCCACTGTTCACATGTACACCCTCCAGCCTCATATACATATATGACCAGTTTGGGCAGCTGATGTATGGACAAGAAGATATGTCCAAAGATGTGTTGGAATATGTGCTATTTGAGAGACAATTATCAAATGAATGCATGGCAAAATCATCCCTGCCTGGGTGTATGACCCCACTCTCACACCCCTCCCCAAAGAAACCCATCCCCCAAATGGTGATGATTCTGGCTCCTACTATAAGAATATGAAAAGATGAATATGGAAGTTCCAAAGCCTCAGTTAACTGGGTGGCACAAATAACTCTTGGGGCTGGGGTGGGAAGGTTAAGGGGCCCAAGATAGTCTTCATTCTCTTCCCAGCTTCTAATGGGCAGGGACTGTCTTTCTTTCAGCCTGTATTTGTATCCCCAACACTTAACACAGTGCCTGGCACACAATGAGCGCTTAATAAGATTTTTCCTTCTTTCCTTCCTGGATACTGGTGTGTTTCAGAGACCACCTGAAACCATCTCTTCTTTATTGTTAGTAATATCCTCAATACAGTGCTCTGGGGAGTTCTGCTTTTTTTTTTTTTGTAAGTACCTGTTTTAAGTATTTGTCTTTTATTTCTGGGATGCTTGTTTATGTTTCAAAGACTTTCATGAAGTAAATAGATCTCTGCAAACTTTTCAGTCTCTTTACTTGTCAAATATCCATTTGACTCCATAAGACTTTATACTGAGTCTTCTTGGTATATAATGACCCATGCTTCTTAATTCCATAAAAGTTGTACTCCAATTTTGGCAATGCTTCCTTATTCTTGAAAAATCTGTTATAATATTATTTCTTGCTATTTTTTTTTTACTTCTAAGTAGTATTTTTTTCTCATTATCATAGTGTTGGATGTTAACTATGTGTCAAGACATGTTAGATATATACATGAGGGATCTTTTCTGTGTCCTTTGAATTCTTTATATTTGAATCTGACCAGGTATTTCAACCATTTTGGGGAAATTTTCTCCAGTGATTTTTAAAAATAGTGTCTCATTATTTTGTTTTTTCTAAATTTTCTGGAATTTAAGTCATTTAGAGAATGCTACATCATGATTTATTCTTAAAGTCTCGTTACTTGAATCTGTGTTTTCTAATAGAATAACTTAGAGTTCTTCGAATTTGGTAATATTCTTTATTTCTTCTCATTTGTTTTCAATACCTCTTAATAGTGACTTCATTTCCTCATAGAATTTTATGTGATCTTGTGATTTTCACAGCATTGACAATTATGGTTTGATTTCTTTCAATGTGTCATATATTCATCTGAGGATATGACCTGGAAGATGTTTTTTTTTTTAATTTCCATTGCTTCTGGTACTGTAGCTGATTCAGCTGCAATACAATATTTCAAAGTTTAATCAAAACTCTTTTTTTACTTTGCTTATTTTAAATTTTATTTGGTTGAATTTTTTTGCTATTTTTATTTTCTTTGGTATTTCTATTAGTTATTTCTTTGTAAAGAGACTAGGTCCCTTCAGTCCACTCTGACTTCATAGACCAGTTTCTCCTGATTTCTATTTTTAAACTAAAATAATCATTATGCTTCTAAAGAAAATTGAGATTTTTAGTAACTATTATCTAATAATTCATTTAACCATAATTCCCATTACACATGTAACAGATTTACATCTAAGAAAAGCAAATCAATTCATTTAAAGTCAATAAGGCTAATGATCAACTGTTCTAATATCTATCAACATTAGAAGAGTATTCAGGTAGTACTATTGTTACATCACCAAAAATGATATAAAACTTTGTAATAAGGGATAAAAATAGTAAAATTAGGTAATTAAAAACAATATAAAAGTGTTTAATAGATTTAAATAATTGGTGTCAGATAAATTAATCATTGGGCAAATTGAACAGAAGATTGTTTTGAAATTAACAGATGTAAACTTTATCAGAATTGCTGTGTGTTACAGGGAAAAATTTAAATATAGTTGAGGTAGGATGTGAAAGGAAGCATATTTCTCACTCAAACACTCCCCCCTAAATCTCAACTGGTGACAAACTGTGATATCAAAATCATCAAGTATTTGAAGAAAGAATGATACAAGCTTTCTTGAAGTCATTAAAACCAGTATTACTTTCCTTTGTGAAGTCTCTGATGCCTGACCAGGGCTGAACTGTGCCTGAAGACACTCCCACACTGATTACATTTATAGGGCTTCTCTCCAGTATGGATTCTCTGATGTCGAGTAAGGTTTAGATGCAGGCTGAATGCTTTTCCGCATTCATTACATTTATAAGGTTTCTCTCCGTATGGACTCTCTGATGCTGTATAAGCAGTGCACCCTTGCTGAATCCTTTCCCACAATCAATACACTTAAAGGGCTTCTCTCCTGTATGAATTCTCTGATGCTGTGTACAGTCTGTACTCTGACAGAAAGCTTTACCACATTCATAACATTTGTAGGGTTTCTCTCCAGTGTGGATTCTCTGATGTCGAGTAAGGTTTAGATGCAGGCTGAATGCTTTTCCGCATTCATTACATTTATAAGGTTTCTCTCCCGTATGGACTCTCTGATGCTGTATAAGCAGTGCACCCTTGCTGAATCCTTTCCCACAATCAATACACTTAAAGGGCTTCTCTCCTGTATGAATTCTCTGATGCTGTGTACAGTCTGTACTCTGACAGAAAGCTTTACCACATTCATAACATTTGTAGGGTTTCTCTCCAGTGTGGATTCTCTGATGTCGAGTAAGGTGCACATGCAGGCTGAAGGCTTTTCCACATTCATTACATTTGTAAGGTTTCTCCCCACTATGGATTTTTGGATGTTGCTTAAGTAGTGCACCCTTACTGAAGGCTTTCCCACAGTCATTACACTTATAGGGTTCCTCTCCATCATGGTTTCTTTGATACTGCCTAAGGACTGCACCCTTACTGAAAGCTTTCCCACAATTATTACATTTATAAGAATTCTCTCCAGTTTGGACTCTTTGATGTTGTAAAGGAAATTCACCCTTACTGAAAAATTTCCTGCTTTCAATATTTCCTATCATATTTTGACTAAAGTGTCCATGCAGTCTGAATGCCTTCCCACATTCACTACATTCAGAGAGTTTCTTGCCAGTATGGATTTTCTTATGTTGAGCAAAGTTTTCATGAAGCTTAAAAGCTTCCCCACTTTCATTATATTTAAAGGACTTCTCACCAGCAAGGACCCTCTGATGCTGCCTATAGAATGCACCCTTATTAAGAATTTTTGCACATTCATTATCATCATAGGATTTTTTTCCTATACACAGTTTCTGGTGTCCAATTAGGTGGGCTTTACATATTAAGATTTTCCCCACATACATCACATTTATGCCAACTCTCTCTTGTAAAACCATCCCATTTTGGAACAAGGTTTGAGCTCAAACTACATTCATTACACTCAGGACCTGTCTTTCCATGGAACATTGTCTTTTGGGAAACAGTCATTTGTTGCAGTTGTCTCTGCATCCCAAATTGGTCACTGAGTTTCCAGACTTCTCCTAGCTTAGGGTACAAGATGCCACCCTTTGTAAATCTTTCCACTGTGGACCCTTTGGAGGGTTCCTCTTCAGAAATGCCCTGCTTTGAAAATGGCTCCTTGACTTCATGTCTGTTATCCCATTCTAAAAGAAAAATGATAAAATTGTGCCCTGTAGCCTGTGTTGGGAGGAAGGAAATTACTAAAATGAGAATAATGAAGTGATAATGATGAGAATAATGCACAATGATCCTGAATGAGAATGGAAAAGGAAGGCAGAAAGCAAGTGAAAGAATCTGAATGAAGTGGGGTCATCCACCAAAGAGGATTAGAAAGGATGAAGGATTGGAATAAGTAAGTGATGGGGATGTGGCAAAGAGCGAATATCAGTATTGTGGGAAGAAGACTCAGGTCAGAGTAGAGGGCTTAATCATTCCCATACTGTAGTACGATCCTGTCCTTTTCAACTGACCCTGTACATTTCTATCTACACTTTTTAAAAAAATCCTCATGTCTATAAGAAGATCTCTGCAGTCCCAGTTCTCCCAAACCTTCCCTAACCATTATCAAGGTCTTTCTGTGACCACGATGATAATTATCTCTGTCTAAATGCAATCACTTCTTCCACACACTTACAGGGCCAGGGTTGCTAACATTCTGTAAAAATTATAAAGGGTCAGAGGGAAAACCATTGGCTCCATATTATTAGTAGCACTACCCCATTTTGATCACAGGTGTCATGTTTTATTCTCCTAATGTTACTGAATTGTGGGCAATCATCTGCCCTCACTATTGAAACTCTTTTTATCTGACATTTAATGTCAGACTAACTCTATTCTAATTTGATTTCCTGATTCCCATAACTTTGGCTATCTTTAGACCTTTGTGGGTCTAAAATCCTGGCTTCCTGTTCTTATACTCCCCTACCCTGATCCTGAACCTCCATTTCACTATTATACTCAGTGGCTCCAAGTGAAAATTATTCTTATTGAACACTGCATCTCCCTATTGACTACAACATAAAGATTAGTATCCTTAACCTGACATTCAAAGTGTTTCATGATCCATTTTCATATTACTTATTCACCCTTATTTCAAAACAAGCATGCCCCACTCTTGTCCAGGTGGGCTTGTAAGTGTCCCACAAACATACAGTATTCATTTCTCACTCCAGAGCTTTGTTCATATTTTTCTGTCCACCTGGAACGTCCACTCACTCCATTCAAATTCTAAAAGCTCTCAGGGTCCAACTCATGTTCCTTTTTGTCTCTTTCTTTAAAAAACAGTCTTGTTTGATGCCTTGATCTTCCCCTTCTCTTGTACCCTTTATATTTTTATTGTAGTTATTTACATTTCTGCTTTGAGTGGCTCTGTTTTCTTTTTTTATTGGTTATCAGAATCTAATCTATTCTGAGCAGTGGTCCTATTCCCTCTTCGATACTCATCTTTTTGCCAATTACTACAAATATCCTTTTTGTTGTGCTTAGCATTTCCTTATGAGTCTTAGTTCATCCTGATCCTTAATTAACATTCCTGATACTTTTCTTAGAGGTCCATGAAATGCCTTTGCATTAATTCTCCATTACTGGCTTTTGATTCCATCTTTTGCATATGTTTTAAAAATCTAAGCTGGTTGATGAATTCCCTTGTATCTACTTCAGTTTCTTAAGGCTACTACTCATTTTCTTCTTCATTAAAATTGTTTCTTTTGTGTCTTCAGATGAAATTAGTCCATTAGACCACACATCTTGGAAAGGCATTGAAGATGAATAATGAAGGTGTGACTAGAATTGAATAGGAGGAAGAAAGAAGGCAACTTTCAATTCAACTAGAATAAAAAAATGTTGAGTGGTGGGAGGGGATATTTTCATCTAATAACTTGGACAAAGCTGACATTCAAGATATGTATGGAATTGAAACAAATATTTATAAATAAAAGTCCTATTCCCCAATAAATCAATAAACAAAGGAGATGAGAAATGCTCCAAGTCATTAATGAGGGAAATGCAAATTAAAAACAATTCTGAGGTTCCTCATTAATGAGGGAAATGCAAATTAAAAACAATTCTGAGGTTCCACTTCACATCCCTTAAATAGGCAATAATAAAAAATGGAAATATTGCTTGCTGTGGAAAAACAATCACAGTAACATACTGTTGTTGAAGCTGTGAATTGGTTCAAATGTTCAGTGTATCAGTTCGGAATTTTGTGAGAAAACTGATTAAGTTGTCCATGATGTATAGAGGTTAAGGCAAGATATTTAAGGGAGTTCATGACAAGTGACCTCAGTCTTCCCCACAGGCCTAGGGAAATCTCAAAACTATAATACCAAGAATTCTAAGACTACAACTTCTTATGAATTTTTTTTTTCCTTTTTGGTGAGGCAATCAGGGTTAAGTGACTTGCCCAGGGTCACACAGCTAGTAAGTGTCAAGTGTCAGAGATTGGATTTGAACTTTGTTCTCCTGACTCCAAGGCCAGAGCTCTATCCACTGCATCACCTAGCTGCCCCCTCCTTATGACTTTTTGATAACTCTGACCTGCTTGGTTCTCTCTCACTCACCTGGGCAGGTACACCTTGGGATTTCTTTCTCTACCTTCCATGGATCTCTTTCATGTTCCAACATGGAGATCACAACTGGTTTGGATCCTTTATGCCCTGCTCATATGGAAAGACAAATTACTGGAGTATTTGTTCCGAGAATGAAGAAACATTGCAGAAAATCTCTAACTCTTTGTTCTTCAGAATCTCTGGAATATGAGAAAGTTGAAGCATTTGAAAAAAATTTAGCACTATGAAGGTATCTACTTCATACTACAAAAGTGCAGACTTTTCATCTTTAAAGAAAGAGCAGGAATATTCTCTTTCTATGCTCGAAGGGATTATAAGATAATCAGTATAAGATAATTGAACACTAAATCCCTGCACAGATAAGTAATTTAGAAGCCCAAAAAACTTAACTGAGGGGGAATAAAGTTTCCAATAGGAAGACTGACCCTAAATCACACAGCAAAATCAACCTTACCCAAGGAGACCAGGTTCCTATAATTTTCCAGCATCACTTCCCTGTACAGGTGTTTCTGGCCATAGTCCAATTGCCCCTACTCTTCCTGGGTGAAGACCACAGCTACATCCTTAAATGTCAATGATGCCTGAAATGACAAACACATTCTTGCTTAGCCTGGGCATGGTCTTGGAAAATTGGCAGGATCAAAGTGAATGGATAAGATTATATGTATTGATAATGTTCAGAGATCTGAGTGTTTCAAGTCAAGTAAATTATGTGATTCTCTATTACAAGCATAGCATTTCCCCTTATTATATAGCTGGTACAGAAGTATGAGATATGATGTGTCCTCAAGGAACATATATTTTTACTGGTATTAAAACAAATAAACAATTCAATTGGCAAACAATACAAGATGGGATCTAGTAAAATGATAAGTTGTGTGGTACAGACAGTAAGTGTACATAAGCTCAGAATAAGGAGACCAGCCTGAATTTGGACCGCAAAAGATTTCACAGAAAATTCAGAATCTTAAAGTTAGCATTGCTCTAGGGCATAGCATTGACTTGGAGGAATCTCAAATCTAATGGACAATCACTTTCTACATTTTGCATGAGTACTTCCAGTGAAATCTCTTTCTCTCTCATAGCAGCCCAATTAATTTTGTTCCTAAATATGAAAAGTTCTTCCTTCCATTGAGCTGCAATCTCTTGCCCTTTAACTTCTACCCACTGTTCCTAGTTTGGACTTCTTCAAAGATCAAGTCAAATCCATCTTTTACTTAGCAGCTCTTCATATATTTGAAGGCTATTATTATATTTTTCTAAATCTTTTTTTTCCATACTAAACATCCTATTTTCTTCAGCTGTTCATATGTCATCTTTTTCTTGCTAGTCTTTCCTTCTCAGTTTATTTGTCCCCATTAAAATGTAGCTTATGCAACAGAACACAATATTCTATATTTAGCCTAATACAGACTAGTGGGTTTTTCATCTCCCTCACTCTATATACTATACTATAAATCATATTAATAAAACCTAAGATTGTAGGTAATATTTTTGACGGCCATGCCACAGTAATTTATAATGTGCTTATAGTAATATATAACGAGCTTAAAGTAAAGGGCCATAAAATATATATATAGTAAAGTAATATGGGATGGCTACTTAGGCCAGGTATTCAAGGAGATCAATATGCTTACATCGGGGTGGGGAGGGGGCATGCTCAGGTTTAATGGCTATAGCAAGACAAATGCTTCCTATAAGATAACATTGGTAAATGTGATTAATACACTACCTGGCGTATAGTAAGTGCTATGTCAATGCTTATTCTCTTCTTTTCTCCTTCCCTTCCTACACTGGAACATGGTACTATCCAACTCTTGAGTCAGTCACCAAGCCCCTCCAAGAATCCACTTCAGTAGCAGTTGTCCTGCTTTAGGAATGTCTGGGGGTAGTGACTGAAGAAAACACATTTTTCCAAATGAGCTTCAATTAGGAAGCTTCAATTATGGCCCTAGTGGCCTTTTGCCATTTATGCATTAAATTACTGAAATGATAGTGCTGTGGGAATACAAGCAAAATACGGATGGGCTTATCTCGACTATATGGCATCCAACTTTCTTCATGCACCAGAAAGCAGAAGTAGCTGCATCCTTATACTGATGACCAATGAATTATGGAAATTACCATCTACAGCTACATTTACTTCCACTGATTTTAGATATTTGAGGATAGGTCGAGAGAGCAAAGATACATACAAAGTTGGGTTTGGTGTAAGGTATCAATGAATCAATTAGCAAGCATTTATTGAATAATTTCTATGTCAATGGGGGTACAGAGACAAAAATGGAATAGTCTCTGTCCTCAAGAAGCTTAATTCTATTAAATATGTACATAAGTATACACACAATAACTAAAAAAAAGTAAGGGGGTTAGAAGGCATAACAAAGGAGATAGGAGAGAGATCAGACCAGTTTGAGTACCAAGGAAGAGCAGAATCATGAAAACCCGGAGAACAGAAAGTACCCCCTAACTACTATCTACAAGACCTATTCAAAACTCCTTGATCTGATATTCAAGGCCCAGTACAATATGGCCTCACCCTAGCAAGCTGTGCCCTATTTCCTCACTACTTCCTGAAATGCAACCTCAGCTTAAGCCAGATCAGTCCTCTCTCTGATTTCTATAAAGGACATGTTCTCTCCAGCTCCAAGTCTTTACTCATGGTATTGACAGGATGACAGGATTAGAGCTTTAGAATTGGAAAGGGCCTTAGAGGTCACCTAGTCTAACCTTTTGGTTTTTCCAGCTTATAAAATTTAGTCCCAAGGTCATACAAATACAGAGCATCAGGAAAAGGATTTGAACTGCTGTCCTCTGGCTTTCCCTTAGCCATCTTTTATAGCTGTTTGAATTCTGTCTACCCTCAGGGCCAGTTCAAATCCCACCTCTTTCAAAAGAGCTTCACAGCCCACATTGTACCTTCCTTGAACTCATGTTTATTGTCCATGCCATTCATTTTGATCTTGACTCATCTTGCATTATTTAACTTTTAAATAAGTTAAAAATAATTAAAATTGTGATTTTAATGTTCATGTCTTGTCTCCCCAACGAAACTATAAGATTCTTAAGGACAAGGCCTCTGTCTTCTGTTTCTTGTGTTTTGCCAGTGTGCCTGCACATAGTACTAAGAACACAACTTAGTATCCTGATTGAGAGACTGGATCTTGATAGAGAAGAGAAGGATGCTGTGGAATAACAGTAGGTAAACTGGGAACATGAGAACATTCCCAGTCCTCTAGAGTCAAATAACTGCTCAGGTTTCCTGGACAGGATTTTTTAAGGTAGGTTATTTATAAGCTCCAGAGTAAGGGAAGGAAAAATGTTTTTACTCTCAGGCAGGAGAAAGCATATTAGGGGAAAGAGATCAAAGAACCCCAACTTACCTGTGACCTGGTCATAAGGAGTCCTGCACTCATTCCTTCCTAGTCGGTGCTCCCCTCTGGGGAAAGGGTGGATTTCTGACAAGGCAGAGCTGTGTAAGGGAAAGAAGCCATGAGGGAAATCTCTTGTCTTGTGCTTCCCAGACTCACCAAGCTAGAAATCCTCACAGCACAACTGGGTGTTGTTATATCCACCCACCATGTCTTAGGAAGGAAGCTGAAGGTCAAAGGAGTAGCCCCATCCTTGATTCTGAATCAGAAGGAAGGTCTACCGAGTAAAGGTCCTATCACTGTGGTCTTAGTACATTCTAAGACATTAGATTAGATATACATTATAAGACCATAGCCTATATAGTACCAACCAAAGCCTACTTCTAAAGTCACCAAACTGTCAAGCTATAGTTCAGGAAGCTTTTAATGTGTTGCCTACCCATTTGCAAAGTATTTTCTGCTCTGTTCCTCTCTTCCTGAATGCCTCTCCACTCCAGTCTTGGCTCAGGACCCATTAAAATATTCTGCCTTTGATGTCTTCCCAGAATCATCCTTGGTGAGTGTAGTGTAAGGGCGCAGTGCAGGGTATACTCAAGCCCCACAGGGAACATGATACCCACCTTACTAAGCAAGCTTTATAAGAAGAAAGGTGATTTCAGGTCAAAGAATGTTCTCTTCTGTATGAATAAGGCTCCTGCAATTAGTCTAGGTGTGATCTCCTATATGGCCAAACCACAACTTGTTCTTAGCTTCTGTAGTTCTCAATTTTCTACCCAAGCCTGTTGGTCAGATTCTCTAAGGTCACTCACTCCTCCTTAGCATCTGAATATTGTGATGTCACTCTAACGTTGTTTAGCCAGATATTAGGGGAAAGAGATCAAAGAACCCCAGCTTGGGTGATTGGGAACTCTCCAGCACCAGCCTCGTACAAACCCTGCTCTTTCCTGAAATTCTAGCCAAAGGTCTCACATCAAGTGTTTCTCCTCCTAGGATGGATTCCTGCTTTCCAGGGCCTGAGGGCTTAGAGGCAAGGTCACTTTTGGAGGGACCACCACTAGAGCAGAGATGTTTACCTCCTCTGTAAAATACTCCTTTTAGTGCTCCACACTGGACACTCGTAGAGTCTAATGGGGATGCTGTGAGCACAAAGAAGAAGGAATCCGTAACAGTCAGGACTCAGCAGCCCCAGGCTCAGTTGGGATCTCAAAGGGCACTGCAGAGGTAAGTAAAGAGCCATACATACAAAAGGGCAAAAATGAGTTTCATTCATCCAACAAACTTGTAGTTCAATTCAATTCAACAAACACTAAGCAAGCAGCTATTATGCTCCAGGCAGTTGGCTAGACCCTAGGATACAAAAGCAAAAATGAAAAGTTCCTGCCCTCAAGGAGCTGACATCAAGGGCGGTCGATGGGTGACTAGGCCGGCAGAATACAACATGTAGATAAAGAATGGAAATACAAGGTAAATTGAAGATGGTGAGAGTATTAACGAGCATTTCAAAGAAGCTAAATACTCTGCTCGAAGCCCAGAATCCCGGCTGGGCAGTTACAAGAATATAAGATCTTTCTTTCATCTGGGACACACACACACACACACACACCCTCAAGGAAAAAGAACTGATTGCATGCCCAGCATTCTATCTGATCGCATCGAGTATGTGACAGGAGGTAGGGGTAGGAGTAGGAGTGGGGAATCGGGGCCAAGTCATTACATACCTGGGAATGGGTCCGGGACCTAGAATGATCTCCAGCTGGTTCCGACCAAAGGCGCTGCAGGGAATCCCTAACTCATACTCAGGCAAGGCTCAGGATTGCGCCTGCGCCCAAGGATCCTCAGTACTACAACTCCCAGAATGCTACGGCTTCTGCCTTGCAGAGACATTAGTTATTGGAGGTTCTCCAAGACTTGTCCCCCACCCCCGGCCTCTCTGCCCCTGCTCTTCTTAACTCTCGGCACCTGGAAGAGTATATACGTCTCCAGAGCTTTAGTACCCGATGTTAAAAAGCGAAACTCTACGAGTCCAGAGGGTCGGAGATGAATCATGCTGCCTGCCATGCAGCAGAGGTGGACTTGCAAGTTTGGACGTGGCCAACGTGGGAATTTGTTTTGCTGTACTAAGCGTATTTATTATGAGGGATGTGAAAAATTGTTCTGTTGAGGCAGGGAAGGCAGTGGAAGGAAAAAAATAAACTCTGATAAAAATAAATTAACTTGCGTGAGTAGGGGAGGGGCCAGGACGCGAAGCTCTCTCCACCAATCAGAGGCCGCCATTGCCGACCACCTCCTCCTCCCCATCCTGGTCTGTTTTCTCACAGAGCATCTAGGAACCTCTCTCTTCTGGCTCACCTACGACAGGAAACTAGTTTCTTTGTGTAAGTCACCATTTAGCATAAACTTTGGCAGGTGCTGTCTTAGTTGCTAGGCATAAAAACAAAAGTGAAACCGTCCCTGACTTTCAGGAGAACAGTCTCTGATATTCTCTTAAGGAGGACATATACAAGGTAAGAGGGAGAGGGCAACACCAGAGTCCTGAAGGAGACAGATAAGTGGAGGCAAGGTGAGAATGCATTGCAGACACAGGAAACAAAGGAAAATAGAGTACTCTGTATGGCAAAAAGTAAGAAAGTCAGTTTGATGGGACTCTAGGGATTGTGTGTGTGTGGGGGTAATGTGGAATAAGGCTGGATAGGTAGGTAGGGGCCTAGGTTGAAAGATTTTAAATGCCAGAGGAATTTATATTTGATCCTAGAGGTAACAGGGAAAGAAATAGTACTCTCCTAATCAGATTTACTACTAGCACACATGTACACACATTAAATCAACAGGCACACACATGGATATAGATTTAACAAGGAAAAAAACAAAATAAATTTTCCTTGTGGAAAATGACCTTGTGGTCATCAGACACCAGGTTAAGAAAAATTCAGCCAACATTTCTGGATCCACATCATGTTTTCTAACTTTGCCTGAGTTTTAATGCCTTTTCCTCAATAATTTCCACTCTGTCCACAGTCAAGTAGTCACGTGCAGTGGTATTGATCTCTTTCCATTTTTTCCCTTCAAAACCATAGCCCAGTGCTGCTTTTCCCATTCCTTCCCAAGATATTTCTGACCTCAACCTTCACCTACTGTTTCCTGCTTCATTTCCCTTTATAGAAGACCCTGGTGTCACCAGTCAAGCCTAGCCGAGGGTTGAAAAAACCCTACTTAGGTCCACCCATCCAACCCAAAATGGAGACTCCATCTTTTCATGTTTATTCCTGTTTATCCTTACTTCTGAGTTCAGTTTCTGCATCTTACTCTTATTACCAATTCTGTGCTAGTCCACCCATTTATAGGTTTGCACTTAGTACAGAGGTGCAGAAAATGATCATGCAAGGCACTCGGAGGCTATAGTTTCATGCAAGATTTATTGTAAGGATATATAAGATCAGGAGACAAACTTAGCTGCTTCAGGGTCTCAATATTCTCAAATCATGGGCACAGTGTTGTATTATTTCAGACAATGACAGAGAGCTGAGTACATCTCCTCTACCTAGCATAGTGCCTAGCATATAGGAAGCACTTAAACATTTGTTGACTGAATGATTGTAGAAACTTTCTAAAGATGGAGTGGTGACTTGAATTTTTACATATGTGGCATATGCTACTTATAAATAATGGCTATGGAGTTGTCCTCCACAATAATGAGAAGCTGGAGTACACTCAGAGGGGAGAGGGTCCAGGCTATAGAGAGGACTAGAAATGATACTGCAAGGACTGAAGAAACTGGGTATGTTTAGTATGAAAAGGACATGTTTTGGGGGGAGAGAGGGACATCATAATTTAATTATTTAAAGAGCTGCTATGCAGAATAAGGATTAGATATTCTATTTGACCCCAAAGGGCAGAACTATGAACACTAGATATATAAAAAGAATCCAATCTGGGGCTGACGTAAGGCAAAACTTCCTAACAATTATATTTATTCTAGTTTGGAATGGGTTGCTTCAAGAAGTAATGGGCTCCTCTTCATTGGAAGTCTTTCTGTAAATCAATTCATCTATGATTTCAGTTCTGATTTGGCTATGTATAAATATTTTAAATAGGAGAGGAAGTATGAAATAGTCCTTTCACAGAGAAAAAAACACCCAAAACTAAAGAAACTTTTTAAGATGCAAGGATGAATTAACGGCAACCATCATGTAGTAGAAAGAATGATGGTTCAAATCCTATCTCAACTAATTAGGGACTTTCCTATGTACACCTTTCTCCTAGAGACTTCCCAGTCGGGTTATCTGTAGGATACTTCAGCCTAAATCATTGATCTAGGGCAAGGCAATGAGAGCTCCTTCTCTTCCTTCATTAGTTCCCAAATAGGAAAGAATCTATCTCTATTTGAATCCTGAAGTCATCATACTCCTTCTGCTTTCAAGCCTTGTGCTGTCCTGAAACATATTTTACTAGTTGAACTATCCCAATGGCTTGGCCCAAAAGGCTTTTCTGGGCCTGTGTTCCAATGCCATTTACAACATATATTCAGATCTCAGACTATACTTTTGTCTTTTCCTCCCTGCAAACCTTTGTAGCACTGCCATAGCTCCACATTTGCTAGCAGAATTGACTGAACCAAAGTAATAGGCAAAGAGCCAATGGGCACTGGAAACCTTTCCTTACAAAAATACATAAGAATTACAACGATAACATTCTCATCTCCAAATATCAGGTAAGAGAAATGTTTTATCATAATTACAGACCAAAATATGCAAATACTTTAGAATAGTGATTATTTCAATATGTAGTCTTTCTTATCTTAGTAATTGAGCAGTCTTGCCTACTACACCTTATATGCAACCCTTAAAAATAGCTGGGGTGGGGGGAGGGCAGCTAGGTGGCGCAGTGGATAGACCACCGACCCTGGAGTCAGGAGGTCCTGAGTTCAAATCCAGCATCAGACACATAACACATAACACTTATCAGCTGTGTGACTGTGGGCAAGTCACCTAACCCTGTTGCCTAGCCAAAAAAAAAATAGCTGAGGGGAAAAAGTTCCCATCATAATCAATTATGAAGTATTATGAATAAAGGGGGATCTTTTAAGTTTGTAGGTTCAGAATCAAGCTCATGACTGTAGGCTTTGAGTTTGGCTACTATTAAAACCAAAGTTTTGAGGCTTTTTAACATTTGATTCCACAATATGGCAATGGATCAAAAAATGAAAATTTTAGTATTAGCAAGGGCTGGGTCATATGTTTGCTAGGCAGAACTGATCTACTTAACATCAAGATAAGAGATAAAACTGTTAGTGATGAGATAATTCAACAAAGCAGAATTACAATCCTATCAAACACAATAAATTGATATCTTAATTATGATAGTTATTAGTACAGGGGAAATTTACGAGATAAGGTTAACAGAACTAGAATCTCTTAATTTCTTTAGAAGCAACTACATGACCCTAAGTATTTTCAAAACTGTGAAAGATGACTATAAAAATCTTCCCAAAAGAGACCATGAATTTCATAATTATGATTAAAGTTTTCCATCTTTGTTACAGTGTAAAATAAGACTGGACTCATGTTTTCTATGGTAAATGAATTACCCAAAATTTCACGGTTCTCTTGTTATTGTAAATAAGGTTTTATGTTTTCATGATTTTTATTATTATGAAAATGCAGATGATTTCTATAGGTTAATCTTGTATCCTTCAACTTAGCCAAATTCATTTGTTTCAATAAATTTTGGGTTGAATTTGTTAGATTTTTCTAGATCCACTAACATCATGTCATTGGTAACTATTTTGACTTGTACATACTTTTAATAAAAACTCATATTATTTAACAAAACTACTTGGGAAAATTGGTAGACAATTTGGAAGGGAAGGAATTTGGACACCACATTTTACACCATATAACCCAGCGAATTCTAGATGGTTGAGACTGATGTGAATGCAACAAATCCTAGGAGAAAAAAATGGAATAGAATATTTAACTCAATTATAGGAGATGAATTTTTTTTTCAGTTCCAAAAATGTAAGGAACTATTGGGGACAAGATTTTCTACATTAAAATTTAAAAATTTCTGATCAACAAAAATGAAAATGAAAATAGAAAAAGAATGGAAAAATATAGCAAGAATGAGATTAAAACCTTGACATTTAAGATATATAAGGAGTTATAAGGAAAAAAATCACAGTGATAATTCCCAGTCTACAATGTCTAAATGATAATAGCATACTGATGGACTTTTCAAAAGAGGAAACACAAAATGTTAATAATCATTTGAATAACTGATCAACCCCACTAATAAGACACATTGAAAATGCTCTAAATCACTATTGATTAGAGAAATGCAAAGTAAAACAACTCTGAGATGCCACCTCATATCTATCAGATTGGCTAACATGACAGAAAAGGAAAATGACAAATGCTAGCGGGGATGTGGAAAACTAGGGACACTAATGCCCTGCTGGTGGCATTGTGAATTAGTCTAAACATTCTGAAGAACAATTTGGAACTGTCCCCAAAGGCTAATGATCCACCAATCCACTACTAGATCTGTATCCCAAAGAGATAAAAGAAAAGTGCAAAGTACCTATTTGTACAAAAATATTTATAGCAGCTCTTTTTGTAGTGGCAAAGAATTGGAAATTGAGGGGATACCCAGCAGTTGGGGAATGGCTGAACAAGTTGTATGTGATTGTGATGGAATACTATTGTGCTATAAGAAACAATGAGCAGGATGGTTTCAGAAGGGGCAGCTAGGAGGCATAGTGGATATAGTGCTGGGTCTAGAGTCAGGAAGACTCATTTTCCTGAGTTCAAATCTGGCCTCACACACCTACTAGCTGTGTGACTCTGGGCAAGTCACTTAATCCTGTTTGCCTCAGTTCCTCATCTGTAAAATGAGCTGGGGAAGGAAATGGCAAACTACTCCAGAAAACCCCAAATAGGGTCACAAAGAGTTGGACATTACTGAAAGAACAACAATGACAACATTTCAGAAAAAGCCTTATAAGAACTAATACAAAGTGAAGTGAGCAGGACCAGAAGAACATTGTATACAGTAAGAACAATATTGTAATGATGATCAACCCTGAAAGACTTAGCTACTCTGACCAAGACAATGATCCAAGAGAATTCCAAAGAGCCCATGATGAAAAATGCTATTCACCTGCAGAAAGAGAACTAATGAACTGACTGCAGATTAAAACATTTTTTTTCACTTTCAAAAAAATATATAAATTAAGATTCAACTTTGAGATATCTATCTTACATCAAATTGGAAAAATAATTAAAAAGTCAAAGAAACTTAAAGCCGGTGGGGCTGTGGAGGAATGGGTACTCTACTGGTAGAACTGAAAACTTGTAGGCTCTTTTTTGCAATTAGAGTATATTCAGTAAAGTTACAAAATAGTCACACCCTTTAGCCTAGTGAGTCCATTGGTGGAAATATACTCTGGAAGTCTTATAGAAACAATGACAAAAAATGTATCCGTTTAAGTAGTTTCACTGCAGCATTACATGTTAATTATAAAAAGTTGGAAGCAACCTAAATGTCTAACAGGGTATTTGTTGAAAAAACAAGTGATAGATTAATGCAATGGAATATTATAATGCCATTAAGACCAACAAGTATGGAGAATAACTTGAAAGTCGTTTATGAAATAATGCAAAATGAAAGAATAGCTATAAGAATGGGGGTGCTCACTAACTAAAATTATATGAGGAAAAAGTAAAAAGGAAAGAAGGCACAAAGATTCCTACTGGGGACTTAGTAACAACTGAAATAGTGTTGATAGTTTGTGTTGAAACTAATTTAAATGTAAATAGTTACTAAGCAAGTTTAGTTGTATTGATTTTCATTAAATCTCTAATAAAACATTTAATAAAATTTAAAAATAAAAAAAAACCCATCAGGAATTCTAAAGATATAAGAACTTAGTAGCCTAATTGCAAGATATTATGTTAAATACATGTTTGTTTGTTTTTGTGATTTGCTAACCTTAGGAATGTGTGTATATATACACATGTGAAAGCTTGATGTTGAAGGGATATATCATTGAAAGTTGATTAAAAATGTTTGTCATTTACATAAAAGTTGTCATTAGGCCCTTGGGCTAGAATGTGAATCCTACCATCATTGTTCCTATGTGAAAATTGAACTGGAAAACGTAAGGCACTTCCCCTACCCTCATATAACCTGAGATAACTGAGTGCAACCTGTATTTGTTTAGTTCCTTTACTCTCAAAGGTTGTCACATTTTTATCACAGCACATTTAGATTGTAAAATATATGCTTCAAAGATCTCTGATTTCATCAGGGCACTTCCTCCAGCAGCGAACTTTTGTGTGCCACCAAAGTTTTATAAATTGCTGTGGCTGGAAACAATTTCTATTTAAAAATTTTAACTTTTTTTTTAGGGACAGAATAACTATCTCAAACAAAAAACAACAAAAACAAAGGACGAGGTCTTACCCCAAACCTCCAGCGTTCTACAAAGCAGAACCAAACAAATTAACAAAGAACAAAGAAAATGCTTTCACTTTGTGTCCCTTTACTAGTTTGACAGGTTTGACATTGTGCAACCTTTGACTGTTTTCATCTATTAAAAAGAGAAAAAAAACGTAGTGTGTACTCAGTTCTGGCTCTATTGATTCCACTCTGTATCATCTCACTTAGGTATTTCCTTATTTCCTTGTACTATACATATCTATCATTTTTATGGCAGGAGAGTCAAGTAGATTGGGCTGGATTGCCTTCAAGAATTTGCAGAGCTCCTTTAATGGCCCTCAGTTTACCATGGAAATAATAGCCTTTAAAAAAACTCCAACCTTCTTTCTGTTCCAGTATGACAACAAGAGATGAAATGAAATAGTCTCCAAAGAATTAAAATTAAATATCACACAGAGGACAATGAAGAAGCACGTAGTAAGTGTGAACAGGCTACAACATCTAAGCAATTAAGAATTTTAAACCAGTAAAAGATGTCACCAAGGACAAATATATGACAGGAAGTGAAGATGGGCTGGTCACATTGCAGGTGAAGCTTGTGACAAGTTTAAACAAGAGCACTCTTTAGGATGTCAGGAGAAAGCAAGGAAGGTCTACAGAATGTTGGGTAAAACCCCTATGGCAAATTTAGGAAGGACATGGACTAGTCACAGAGGATGGGTAGTCATGGAAGAATTGTGAGCTGCATCAACTGCAAGGAACTCTCAAGTCATGATTTCACTTATCCATTTGAGTATCAGAGCATGACCCTATTCCTTTACATGTTTATGCCATACTTTATGAAGCCATCTTGTAATTGTTGGACATCTGGGTTGTTTCTAGTTCGTTGCTATAACAAATTCCTCTTTTGCTTTTTGTTCTCTTTCTCCTGCAACTCCCTAACCCCACCTCCCATACCCATCAGAAAGAATCCTAGTGATGGAATTTCTAGGTTGAAAGGCATGTTTTGTGATTTATTGCATGGTTTCCATAATGTTTGCACTACTCTGCAATCTACCAATAGTAATGTTTCCCATTAGCCCAATATTGGACTTTAACAATTTTGATATTTTTGCTGTTCTAGTGGAATAAGTTGATATTGTAAAGTTGCCTTGATTGGCATTTCTGATTGTTAGCAAGGCTGAGCATGTTTCCTTACAGTTGTTAACAGATTGCATTTCCTCCTTCACAAATTGTCTATTTTCATGTCTCACTTCAGTGGGAAATTTTTTTTATTGCCCCACAAGTAAGTCATCAGTACTATATCTATATATATCTTAAGGAAATTGGGGTTAAGTGACTTGTGTAGTGTGAAGTGTTTGGTCTGAGGCCAGATTTGAACTCAGGTCCTCCTGACTTCAGGGCTGGTGCCCTATCCACTGCACCACCTAGCTGCCCCCGGTACTTTATAAATTCTGGATGTCCCTTTTAATCTGCTTTACTTATTTTTAAAATGTTCTCCAATCTATTTTTTTACTTTTAGGTACTGCATTTTCTTGTGCAAAATCCTTTAACTGTCAAATCCAAGCTATCTCCAATTTTTTCTTTTTACTTGATGAATAAAAATGTTCCTCTTCACAATTTGGAAAATATTTTTTCTTTCACTTTTTCCACTATTTAAAAAAATTGCTGATCTGCCTTACAACTAATTATGACCTATAGTGTCATGTGGATCTAAGCTTTTCTTTTTTTGGCCATGTAGCCATCTATTTCTTTCACAAGGTTAAAGTTATTTCATTTCCATCTATTGTCTGCGTGGGTTTACCAAATACTGTTTCTAGTCTTTGGACTCTTTCTAGGTTTTTTATCTATCACTCTGTTGTTCATGTCCAATTCTTTGTGACTCCATTTGGGGTTTTCCTGGCAGATATTGGAGTGACTTGCCTTTTTTTTTTTCCAGCTTATTTTACAGATGAAGAAACTGAAGCAAACAGGGTAAAATGACTTGCTAGCATCACACAGCCTGTAAGAGTCAAGCCAGATTTGATCTCAGGAAGATGAGACTTCCTGACTCCAAGTTTGGCACTCTATACACTGCACCACCTTGCTGCCCACTCTATAATTTTTTCTACCATTTTTTTTCTTTTCGAGTACAAACTAGTTTTTATAACTATTGTTTATGTAGGAATGTTGATATCTGGTAATGCTAGTCCACTTTCATTTTGAAAAAAAGTTTTCCTCTTATTTATGAATTTATCCCTCCACCAATACCCTATTAAGGTATCACTTTTAAGAAAGATTAAAAAAGATCAGCAAAAACAATTAACACATTGACTGTATCTGATAGTGTATGCAGTGCTCCACAACTATGGTTTCATACCTTCGCAAAGAAGGGAGGTAGGCTTATTCTTTTGTTTGAAATCTAGGGCCATGCCTGGGTATTGGTTTACTTTTTGCGAGTTGTTATCCCTCTTAAAAATATTTTTTTCTGGTTTTATGAGAGTACTGATGTTTTGAGAATGCATGAAACATCTAAGTCAATTTGGCAAGTATTGACAATTTTTGTTATCTGATTGACCTAATCATGCGCAGCGGATGAACATTTTCATTCTTAATTTGTTAAAATCAGTTAGAAATTATTTAAGCCTATTTGTCTTCATAAATTAACGTTCAGATACTTAATATTTTGATGTAATTAGAAAGGCTATTTCTCCATCACTTTCCTTTGATTCATGAGAATGATTCTGTGAGAACATCTCATATCTTGCTATTTTAGCAGACATTTATTTTCTTTTTATTTCTTAAGTTTTAAGGATAATCACATTATATACAAATGGAAATATTTTCACCTCTTTATTTCCCATGCTTATTTTTCATGTCTTAGTTACTATTGCTAAGATTTGTAAAATTGCTAATAGGAAAGCCAAAGTCTTGTTTAATACCTATATGAGTAGGAATGCTGCTAGAATTTCTCCTTTATATGTACTAGCTTATGGTTTTAAATACTTTTACAAATCATAACATGGGACCTTTTATCCCTGTATTTTCCCCATTAAAAATGTCTTTAATCAAAAATATTTTCTCTACACTTAGTAATATAATTGTATAGTTGATTTTCTCCACTTGTTGAGGAAATGTTTTATAAGATTATTTTCTTGGTGTCATTCCATCCTCATATGCTATTTATAAATCTTTTTTTGCTATCACTCCACCCCTGCATGGTATTTTAAAATCTTTCTTCAACCTAATAGCTGTTTGCATTTAAAATATCTCCTGTTTTCACAGAGCACGTATTCTGTGGGCTAAGGGTTCAAGGTCTATAACTCATTTTGTAAAGGTCTTTTTTTTCCCAATTTATGTTATCCTCTTGTTCTCCTTGAAATCTGGAGTGATCCTAATGTTTGTTTATTGGTTAGTAATTTTTTCACTTCTTGTAGCACACACTAGCATTTCTATTATTGTATTGTTGCACTTTAAATATGAGGAGCTTCTACCAGTGTTGAATTTGGTGTTTTTCCTTCTGGACTGATCAATAAATATTTATTGACTGAAAACACACAAAAAAAGTACCTTACCCTCAAGCTTACATGCTTGTTGTATCTTGTGGATTACTTCTAATTATGTTTCATTGGTTATTTTCACCAGTTCTGGAAAAAAAATTCAATACTTCCCTGAAAGTGTTCAAATTCTCTTGTTCTTCTAAGTTCTCCAGTGTTTACAATCCTGACTACAGTATTGTGATTTATTTTATAGGTCCATCACTTAGGTCTGTCTTTTCCAAAAGTTCGGATAATTCAACATGTCCTTTTTGGAGGGAGCTTGTATTCCCTGCTGCTCCACAACTGTACATAATTCTTTTTTCCAGAGTAGTGTGTACTATCTCTTGCATCTTTGGATCTTGTATTTTCTTTTGTAATCTACCTACATTATTTTTTCTTATTTTTGCATCTCTTCTAACCTAATTTTCTTGTACAATCTGTTAGTACTGTAGCTATTATTTGACCTTGTAATTTTCTAGGCATTGCCAATTTCACTTGGTTGTGTCTTTTATCTATGGGAATTGAGTGGACCACACCAACTCCATCTTGTGACTCAATTCTTGATCTAGCTCAGTTCCCTTTCTATTCAATTATGGGTCTAGTCCATTTGTGAAAAAACTTTATTGCCCTGTTTGAACCTAGCCCAGTGTGGCTGGGAAGCTGAACTACCCCTACTTGTTGCTTAGAGACCCTTAACCAAGGACCTTGGTTAAGCTGACCAGAAATCCAGTCAGATCCAAAGAATGATCCAAGGAGTTTTCTCACAATTATACATCTTATTTGAAAACTGGCCCTGTACTGGTCAACCAGTTACTGTTTCACTGTTCCTTTTATTGAATACAGATACTTGGGGGGAGTGGGACACCTCTTTTTTCCTAATTTCAAGGAACTGCAACTGTTTACTTTCTCCCAACTTGGAAAGCCCCTAATCTTTCCTTTAATTAGAAATCAGATTACCCAATCTTGTATCCTGGTTTATATCTGGTTTTCTTTTAATGCATAAAAATCTCTCTCTCCCTGTATTTGGGGTCCAGTGCCAAGCTGAGGAGGTATGGTCCCAATTTGACATGCAATTAGCACGTGCTGCTTAATAAAGCAATATGCTCAGAAGCTTGAACTTTGGTTTCCTCAGTTATTTCAGAATTCATCTGTTACATATGCAATGGGAGAACAAATCCTTAACTGTTTTTTTTTCACAATATCTTTTTCCTTCTCTCATAGTTTTTGGTATTTTACCTGATTCAATTGTTATTATTAAGTATTTTCAGTTGTATCAGCCCTGTTATTTTGTTCATATTAAATTATGGTTAGTTTTTTTTTTCTTATGATAGAGGAACCTGACTCCACTCAATCCTCTCAATTTAGACATCTAGGTTTAAATCTTTTCTGTCACTACCTATGTGACCTTGGAAAAATCAAACAGTATAGGCTTGTTTCCTCATTTGTAAAATGGGGTTGGACAATATGGCTTCTGAGGTTCCTTGACATTTTAAATCTATGATGCTTGACAATAATTTTATAAGCACACATCCCACCTCACACTTTTTTAACTTTACTTCTAAAAAAAAGATGGTCAACTCACTTAAAAACAATTAAAACTAATGATCAACTTCCTAACTGTATTTGTTAGTCATGCCTACTAGTGTGGTAATACCAGAAATCATGCAAAAATTTCAGTAGGTGTTGAAAACTGTAAAACTGGGTAATTTTTAAGAATCCAAACAACATAACAACTTACTCATATTATCAGGAAACTCATGTTAGCTGAACTAATCATTTGCCATATTAATTGTAAGGTGATATTCTTTAAGTTGAATTGATGTGAAGTCCCTTGTAGGCACTGAGGTGTATAGTAGAGCAGAAAGAAATACAGAGAGGAAGCATATTTTTCTCTAAGACATGACAAAATCAATTAGTGACAAACTAGGACTTAATGACCACAAATATTTGAATAAGGGATAAATATAACAGAATTTCTCCATTCACTAAAACCTCGGGATTACTCTCCACTATGAAGTCTCTGATGTCTGACTAGAGTTGAACTGTGCCTAAAGGCATTTCCACACTGATTACATTTATAGGGTTTCTCTCCTGTATGTATTCTTTGATGCCGAGAGAGGTTTGCATGCAGTCTGAAAGCTTTTCCACATTCATTACATTCATAAGCTTTCTCTCCAGTATGAATGCTTTTGTGTTCAGTAAGCTGTGTATGCAGTCTGAAGGTCTTTCCACATTCACTGCATGTGTAGGGTCTCTCTCCAGTATGAATTCTCTGATGTTGAGTACACTGTCTACTCTGACGGAAGGTTTTCCCACATTCATTACATTTGTAGGGTTTCTCTCCAGTATGAAGTGTCTGATGTCGCTTTAGTTGTTTACTCTGACTGAAAGTTTCCCCACATTCTTGACATTCATAGGGTTTTTCTCCAGTATGTACTCTTTTATGCTGAGTAAGGTTTGCACGACGACTAAAGGCTTTTCCACATTCATTGCATTTATAGGGTTTCTCTCCAGTATGGACTCTCTGATGCCGCATAAGAAGTGCACCATCACCAAATGCTTTCCCACAATCACTACATTTATATGGTTTTTCTCCAGTATGAATTCTCTTATGTTGTGTAAGTTTTCCACAAAGTCTGAAGGCTTTTCCACATTCGTTACATTCATATGGTTTCTCCCCAGGATGAATGCTCTGGTGTTTAGTGAGGTGTCCATGCAGTCTGAAGGCTTTCCCACATTCATTACATTCATAGGGTTTTTCTCCAGTATGGATTCTCTTATGTTCAGTAAGACTTGAACTCCGACTGAAGGCTTTCCCACATTCATCACATTTGTAGGGCTTCTCTCCAGTATGGATTCTCTGATGTTGCTTAAGAATTGCACCTGTACTGAAAGCTTTCCCACATTCACTACATTCATAGGGTTTCTCTCCAGTATGAATGCTCTTATGTTGAGTAAGGCTTCCACGAAGTCTGAAGGCTTTCCCACATTCACTACATTCATAGGGTTTCTCTCCAGTATGGACTCCTTGATGCTGCTTAAGAAGTGCACTCATACTGAAAGTTTTTCCACAATCATCACATTTATAGGGTCTTTCAGCTGTATGGACTCTCTGATGTTGCTTAAGGAGTGCACCTTTACTGAAAGCTTTTCCACATTCATTACATTCATAGGGTTTCTCTCCAGGATGAATGTTCAGGTGCTTAGTAAGGTGTCCATGCAATCTGAAGGCTTTCCCACATTCATTGCATTCATAGGGTTTCTCTCCAGTATGAATTCTCATATGTTGAGTAAGGTGTGCATGCAGTCTGAAGGCTTTCCCACATTCATTACATTCATAGGGTTTTTCTCCAGTGTGAATGCTCTTATGTCCAGTAAGGCTCCCACGCAATGTGAAAGCTTTCCCACATTCATTACATTTATAGGGTTTCTCTCCAGTATGGACTCTCTGATGCTGCCTTAGGAGTGCACCCTTACTAAAAGCTTTCCCACATTCATGACATTCATAAGGTTTCTTCCATACACAGATTTTCTGATGTCTAATTAGGTGTGAACTAAATTGAAAGGTTCTTCCATATAGATCACATCCTTGGGATTTCTCTCTTATGGAAACTTTCTGTTCTGTAACAAGGACTGAATTCAGACTAATTTCATTACACTTAGGGTCTCTCTTCCCCGGGATAATTTTCTCCTGAGGAACTATCATTTGCTTTCCAAACGGGCCAACATGTTTCCAGGTATCTCTTAACTCAGAGTACCAGATAACACCTTTTGGAAATCTTTCCACTGTCACCTGGGCTAATTCCTCTTCAGAAGTGCCCTGCTTGGTTTCATACCTGGTCATCCCACCTGAAAGAAATATAATAGTCAATAGTGTAACAGATTAAACAGAGGATTTGACCATGAGCAAATATCAGAATTGTGTAAGGCAGTCTGGGATCAGAGTCCCATTAACCTGAGTCCAAATTATTCTAATAGAAGTCCAATTAGTTTCTGGGGTTTCCATCTCTTATCCCACCTAAACTGATCATGTACAATGTCACCAAAGGAATCCTACATAAGTAACAATTTCATGTTTATAAGAACACTACTTCAGTCCTAGCACTCCTACAATTTCCCTAACAAAAATCAGGGCTTATCTGTAAGCCATAGAAATTCTTGCTCCATCTAAGTAAAATCACTTATTACACACACCTTCTGGATCAGTGACAAGGGCAATGTGCAGCTAATGTAAAAGGGCTGGAGGCCAAACCACTAGTGATACATTAAACATAGTATTTTATATTATATGAAAAGTACATTAAAAATTTAAAACTAGAGTGATAATGTACAAGGTCTGATGGAGATGCTTTAGAATGCAAATTCCTTGTGACAGGGATTATTTCATTCATTACACTTGTATACCCAATGCCTAGAACAAAACTTGGGACTAGGTATTCAATAAATATTTGTAGAATGACTGATTGATGGATGGATGGATGCTACCAACCAGGGAAATCAGTGAATGTTTAAAGGATAAAGTGGCAATCATCAATGAGGACACAACTAAGGTTATGTAAACCTAAATTTGCAGGATTAGGTTCTGCTATGTGATATTACAGAATAATAAAAAGTTTGCTATACAAATATTATAGAACATTTTAGAATGGTGAGAGAGTTAGTGATAAAGAAAAGTGAGAAAAATGGCAGCACTTCCATGAAGTGACTGAGAATATTCCTGGCCACAAAAACTACTCAATACTTTTTTATGTTTTGAGGATGCAAATTACTCTAAGGTCAAGTCTAAGAAAGAGACAATGGGTTAATTATACCTTGGCTTTTTTTTTTAAAGTAAATTCTTAAGTACTATAGAGAAGGCCAAATATTAGAGGCTGAAAGTAGAGAAGTACCATCCAGATAGTGAGTACAACATAAACACAAAGTTGTAGGAAACTGTATGTTATAAAAAGAGAATACCAGTATTTTTGAATTGCAGTAGAGAATGTTGTTAGGGAACAGAGAGAAATAAGGGTGGATAATTAAAGAGCATTCAAATGCTAAGCAGAGGAATTAAGACATGATGCAGCAGACCATAAGTAGTAAATATTGTTTTTAATGATCAGTAGTGAAAGGATGAATGTAGTATTTTAAGTGTTGTTGCTCAGTTGTTTTTCAGTTGTGTCCCACTTTTCATGATTCCATTTGGGATTTTCTTGACAGAGATACTGGAGTGGTTTGCCATTTCCTTCTTCAGCTCATTTTACAAATGAGGAAACTGAGGCAAACAAAGTTAAGTGACTTGCCCAGTGTCACACAGCTAGTGTCTGAGGCCAAATCTGAACTCAGGAAGATGACCCTTCCTGACTCCTTGCCTGGCATTCTATCCACTATGCCACCTAGCTTCCCAGTATTTTAGATAATCTGACAATAAAACAAAATGGATTGCCAATAAGGAAAGCAACTTTATGTTGTAATAGTAATGATTAATTACCCCATAATTGTGGGAACAGTGGAGAGCTGAGTCCTACAGATACTTAAAAGGAAGGAAAAACTGCACTAAATACAGACTTTAAATGTCTGAGATGTCAAAGAAAGGAAAATTCAACATGTGAAAGTAGTCTAAAAAAATACATGGAGGATGGGAGCTTGGGTAGGCATTAAGATATGGGTCAGATTCCAGAAGTGCAAGGAAATACACAGAATACAGTACCATTACTAGGAGACAATGGGTTACGTGGGTTTTAAGTGAAGTCTCAAGGACAGAATCTTAAGGTTGTAAACTACTTTGCAAACTTTAAAGTACTATATAAACATTAGCTACTTTTACTATTATAAAGGGTTTTTTTTTTCCTTTTCTTTTTGATGAGGCAATCGGGGTTAAGTGATTTGCCCACTGGTCACACAGCTAGTAAGTATTAAGTGTCTGAGGCTGGATTTGAACTCAGGTCCTCCTGACTCCAAGGCCAGACTCTATTCACTAAGCCACCCTAGCTGCCCCTAAAAGTTTTTTTTTTTAAAGGAATAATTGGAGTGTTTCTGACCAACTTCTCCCTCCTAAAGGATACTTTCTTTCCTGGGTTTTCTCAACCCTTTGCAGTCTAGCTTCCAGCCTTAGCAATGATCTGAAATTGCTCTCTCCAAAGATCCAATGATCTTTGATTTACCATATCTGATTCTATTTTCAGTCATCCTTTCTGAATTCTCTGCTGTATCTGACACTATTGACCACCTTCTTATATGCTCTCTTCTTTTTTTTAATCCCACACAACCTTCTCCTGGTTCTCCTATCTATCTAATCACTCCATCTCAGTCTCCTTTATATGAGGCACCTTGTGCCTATGACCCAGGATGGCACTGTCACGGGCCCTTTCTCTCTCTCTCTCTCCACTTTCTTTCTTGGTGACCCCATTAGTTTCCATAATCTTTATTATCAGCTCTATGCAAAGGCATCTCAAATCTATGTAGACAGTTCTTGCCTTGAATAAATTAGCATTATGTAAATTCAACTTCATGTAGAGAATTCTAAAAGAAATCTGCATTCCAAAAAACCACTTTTGTTAGCTTTTCTGTACAGTACTGTGCTTTCTCTCTCTGCTCCTGTCCCCCTCCAAAACAAAACGAAACAAACCTAAAAAAAGCCCAAACTCCTTCAAGTGAAAGCAGAAGAATAACTGTTGCAATGAAAGACCTCTACTGAGACCTACAGTGCTGGAGAGAACTTTGCCCCACTCCATCTGCAGGGGCCCCTGTCTGTCTTCCATCTGTCCACACTAAGGCACTGTGTATATGTCCTTGGCTCCTGTGTGTCACCCATTCTCTCCTGTCTGTATCCATGTCTGCCCTCAGCATGATCTTCCTCTCAATTTGAGCCAGGCCCCTCACAGGTGGCCCCTGTCCCTGCTCTTGCTTCTCTGTCCTTGGCCTCCACATGTCCTTGAACCATGTGCCGACCTCCTCTCTCCAGAGGTGCAATGTCCCCTTCCTGCTTCCCTCCCTCCCTTCCCCACATCTGTAAAAATCACTTTACATAGAAGCCTGTGGAACAGTCCACTTATGTAAAGTGAGAACTGTCTATATACAGTCCCAGTGCCTCTCCTGAACTCTGGTCCCACATAACCAATTGTCTTTTATATATTTCCAATTGGATGTCCCATAGACATTTCAAACTCAATTTGTCCAAAATAGAACTCATTGTCTTTACCCGTAAATCTAACCTTCCTCCTAACTGACCTATTTCTATCAAGAATACATTCTTCCAGGAACTCAGCTTCACAATCTGAGTCATCTTCAATATGTTCACTAGCCCCACCACATCTAATCAGATACCAGGTCTTGCCAAGTCTTCATCCATATCTCACATACATACCCTTAGCTTTACTCATTTTACAATCATCTTAGTTCAGGACCTTATTACCTCTTGCCTAGAGTACTCCAACAGCCTCCTAATTGGTTTTCCCATCTCTGGTCTTTCCCCTCTCCAACCTATCATTCCCCTTAGCTGCCAAATTGATATTTCCAAAGCACAGGTCAACCATGTCACTCCTTTGATCATAAAGTTCTAGTGGCTCCCTATTACCTCTAGGATAAAATATAAACTCCTTTTTCTGGGTGTTTAAAGTCCTCCACAATTGGGTTCTAGTCTCTTTCTAAATCTATTTTACAAAAATCTCACATCTTGATGTCACAGTGGATAGAATGCTGGGATTCAGGAAGACCTGAGTTCAAATCTGGCTTCAGATCTATACTAGCTGTGTGACCTTGGGGAGGTCACTTAACTTCTGTTTGCCTCAGTTTCTTCAACTATAAAATAGAGACAATAATAGCACCTGCCTTGCAGAGCTGTTGTGAGATCAAATGAGATAATATTTATAAAGTGCTTAGCATAGTGCCTGGCACACAATAGGCACTATATAAATGTTCCTCCCCACCTTCCCCTTTCTTTCACTTTCCCTCACACACTTTCTACATTCCAATTAACCTGGAATCATTAATAGATTTATTGGTTCCCATGCTTGGTCAAGAAATCATACCTGAATTTGTCTGAAGGATGAATAACATGGTTATTCTCCTACAGCCTGTTTTTTTTTTTAAGCAACAGCTGGTTTCCATATCCTTTTTTGAAAACCAGATCCTGTTCTGCAATTAACTTCTATATGCCATTATCTTTCTCTCACATAGTTAAATATCTTGTATATAGTCATCTTTTATATTTTTTTTATGTGTGTGTGTGTATGTAATGTATGTGTGTGTATATATATACATATATATATATATATAATATGTATGTATGTATATACATTCTACTATTCAGTACTAATAAAACCTCTCAATTTCTGTGCTCATTTGACTATCCAGCATAAAGAAGTTAAGAAGTCCATCCCTCCTACTGGATTAGAGATTACGGTATACGCTAGACAGAGGCCTAACATGGATTTAATAGCTGTAGACAGGGAGGCCCTTAGAGATTAACTAATCACTACTGCAACATGAAATCTAGACTAGTTGATATTGCCCTCTTGGATGCTACATTTAGAC